GATACATGCATTTGTTTCTTGACACACTCTTCTGTTCTGTTGGTATCATTGTCTAGCATTGTGCCTGTTTTTTCTTGATTATATTTTGTATAATTTTTAGATCAGTTTGTCTACACACACACACGCACACACACACGCGCTCATAACGAGCTACAATGTTCTGTGGGAGGCAATTGAGTTTACCCTTCACTTGAGAAAACCACATCTTTACAACACTGAGTCTTTCTAGCCACAAAAGAGCATCACTTTAAATTTATTCTGGTCTCTTTAATTTTGCTAAATATTTTTAAATAGATTTTTAGCATAGAAGTCTTTCAGATCTTTTGTTAGATTTCTCTTTAACATTTTTTTGTTTAAGGTAAATGCTATTTATTTTTGTATTTAGAGTTTTTTTTTCTTATTTTGATGCATATTTATAGATGTGTAATTGATTTTTCACACCAAGTGAAGTGGATAATTTAGTTATTAACTCACTAATTAACTTACTAAATAGTTTGTAAATTCCGCTGGAATTTTCTATGGATATAATGATGCCATCTATAAGTAATGACAATTTTGTTTCTCCCTTTCAAATACTCTATCTATATTCCTTCCTTCCTCCCTTCCTTCACTCATTCATTCTTCATTTTTGGCTTCCCTTCCTCTCACTAGAATCTCTACTATAATGCTAAACAGAAGTGGTGATTTTAGGCACTGTTTCTTATTCCTCATCTCTGGGGGGCGTAATTTAATAAGTTGTCCATTAGTTATGATGCTGATTAAAAATATGGCAAATGCTTTTTATCCAAGTGAGAAAATATTTATCATGTAGTATGTAATGGTTATCATGAGTTTTTAACATATATGTGATTTGAATATTAGCAAATGCTTCTCCATCTCTCATGTTGAAAATGATTTTCTTTTTCCCCCCCATGTGTGTGATAACGCAAAGTTTGGCTTTTCCAGTGTTAAAATCAACTTACATCCCCACAGTAAAAGTAATTTATTCATGATGTGTTAAATGAATTTGGATCCAATTGCAATAAGTGAATATTTAAAATGTGTAAATTTAGGGGCACCTGGGTGGCTCAGTTGGTTAAGTGTCCAACTTTGGCTCAGGACATGATCTCATGATTTGTGAGTTTGAGCTCCACATCAGGTTCTGAGCTAACAGCACAGAGTCTGCTTGGATCTTCTGTTTCCCTCTCACTCTCTGCCCCTCCTCCTCTCCTGCATGCGCTCTCTCTCTCTCTCAAAAATAAATTAACGTTAAAAAAAATAAAGAGTGCAAATGTATGTTTTGGCAAAGTATCTTCCTGTGAAAACATCAGCACAATCAAACTAAATAGCCATCACCCTCCCCAAATGTCTAGTACTCTTTGGTGATGTCTTTTCCCATGACTTGAAGCCTATTCCACCACCAGAAAATCACAAAGATACATTTTTGGTCACTATATATTCTCTAGAATTTTATACAGATGATATCATACACCAAGTGCTTTTTTGAGGTCTAGCTTTTTGTTTCTCTGAGGGTAATTGTTTTGAGTTCATCTATGCTACTATAGGTATTGATAGTTCATTCTTCATTGGTTGCTAGGTAGTATGAAAATGCCACAAATTGACTTTTGATTCACCTGTTGAAAGGCCCTTCAGTAATTTCCAAGTCTAGGTTTTCGTAAATTGAATTCCTATAAATATTGTGCACATCTCTTATATAGACATGTGCTTTCATTTCTCTCAGGTGAACACTAAGTCTGGAATGGCTTCATCATCTAGTAGGTAAATGTCCAAGATTTTACAAAATTGCCAAACAGTTTTTAAATGGTTATACCATTTTTTTTTCTAACCAGCAGTTTATTGGAATTCCTGTTCTTTCTTTTCTTGCCAGATTTTGTATGGCCTGTCTTTTTAATTTTAGCCATTTTAATGGGTGTGTAATGATATCCCACTGTTGTTTTATTTTGCATTTCCCTTATGCATTTGACTAATCGTGCTGAAAACTTTCTCATCTGCTCATTTGCCATTCATATATGACCTTGATTAAGTGTGTATTCAAATACTTTGCCCTTTTTAAAAATTTATTTTGGGGGGTTTAGACTATTTGCATTGAGGGGATTAATGGCTTGGTTAGTAGGAATAAAACCATCATGGTGCTATCTTTTTCCAGTTGTCCAGTTTTCTTTGTTCCCTTTTCCTTCTTTTTCTCACATCTTTTAATTATCTATTAATTATATATTTTATCATTCCATTTTATGTCCATTGTTGTGTTATTAACAATAACAGTTTGTTATTTTGCTTTAGATTTTATAATGTGCACCTTTAGTGTTTCACAGTCTACTTTCAAGTGGTTTTATGCCATGCCATGTGTATCATGGACCGTGTAATAGTATACTTCAGTTTCTTCCCCTCATTGGCCTTTATGCTATTGTTTTAATATATTTTACTTTTGCATATTCTATATACCTCAGACCTAACTGTTATTATTTTTTCTTAAAATTCAACATTTAAGAAGAGATTGAAATAAGTAGAAAAGAATAATAGATATTTATTCATAGAATAAAGTAGGTATTTAGAATAGAAATAATAGAAATAGAATAATAGGGGGGCGCCTGGGTGGCGCAGTCGGTTAAGCGTCCGACTTCAGCCAGGTCACGATCTCGCGGTCCGTGAGTTCGAGCCCCGCGTCGGGCTCTGGGCTGATGGCTCAGAGCCTGGAGCCTGTTTCTGATTCTGTGTCTCCCTCTCTCTCTGCCCCTCCCCCGTTCATGCTCTGTCTCTCTCTGTCCCAAAAATAAATAAACGTTGAAAAAAAAAATTTTTAAAAAAGAAATAGAATAATAGGTATTCATTTCTGGTGGTCTATATTCTTTTTTGAAAATTCATGTTTCTATCTAAAATCATTCTCTTTCTTCCTAAAAAACTTCTTTACCATTTATAATAGAAAAGAAGTATTTCCTTTTTACTTTTTAAAATATTTTCACTAGTATAGAATTGAAGTTTTAAGATGTTGTTTTTCATTTAGTCCTTTAAAGATACTAAAGAATGAATCTGGGCCACTTTATTACACCATACACAAAAATAAATTCAAAATGGATGAAAGACCTAAATGTGAAGCAGGACCATCAAAATCCTAGAGAACACAGGCAGCAATCTCTTTGACCTCGGCCATAGCAACCTCTTACTAGACACATTACTGGAGACTAAGGAAACAAAAGCAAAAAGGAGCTATTAGGACTGCTTAAAGATAAAAATCTCTTGCACAGTGAAGGAAACAATCAACAAAATTAAAAGGCAGGACATCTGGTGGCTCAGTTGGTTAAGTGTCCAACTCTTAATTTCAGTTCAGGTCATGATCTCATGGTCATGAGATCAAGCCTCATGTGGGACTCCGGGCCTGTACATGAAGACTGCTTAAGATTCTCTCTCCCTTCTCTTTCCCCACCAACTCTCACGTGTGCTCTCTCACTCAAATAAATAAATAAAAACACCCACAAAAACAAAAACTGACAGGCAACCTACAGAATGGGAGAAGATATTTGCAAATGATATATCAGGCAAAGGGCTAGTATCAAAATCTATAAAGAACTTATCAAACTCAACACTCCCCCAAATAAATAATCCAGTAAGAAATGAGCAGAAGACATAAACAGACATTTCTTCAAAGAATACATACAGATGGCCAACAGATATATGAAAAGATGCTCAACATCACTCATCAGGAAGGAAATACAAATCAAAACTACAATGAGATATCATCTCATACCAGTCAGAATGGCTAAAATTAAGAACACAGGAAACAACAGTGGTTGGCAAGAATGTGAAGGAAAGGAATCCTTTGCACTGTTAGTGGGAATGCAAACTGGTGCAGCTACTCTGGAAAACGGTATGGAGGTTCCTCAAGAAACTAAAACAAACAAACAACCAAACAAACAAACAAAAAACCTATCCTATACAAATTATACAGATTTGAAGGGGTATATGCAACCTGATGTTTATAGCAGCATTACCAACAATAGTCAAACTATATGTCTATCAACTGATGCATGGATAAGGATGTGGGAAAAACTGCTCTGAAACACACACATACAATGGAATATTATTCAGCCATCACGAAGAATGAAATTTTGCCATTTGCAACAACATGGATGGAGCTAGAGTGTATTATTCTAAGTGGAATAAGTTAGTCAGAGAAAAAAAAATACCACACTCAAATGGTCTGTTCCATTAAAAAAAATTTTCCAGCACCAAAACAGAGTCTAGTACACTGATGGAATCTGAGACATCTTAAAATATAGGTATCCAGTTTCGAGCTTAAAATAATATTCCTTCCCTAAGCAATTTGATTTTTTTTATAAGTGTGGGGTCACATTCTTTTCCCACACTTTAAAATTAAATTTTATTTTATTTTTAAAAAATTTTAACGTTTATTTATTATTGAGAGACAGAGAAAGACAGAGCATGAGCACGGGAGGGGCAGAGAGAAGGGGAGACACAGAGTCTGAAGCAGGCTTCAGGCTCTGAGCTGTCAGCACAGAGCCCGACGCAGGGCTGGAACTCACAAACTGAGAGATCATGACGTGAGCAGAAATCGGAGGCTTAACCGACTGAGCCACCCAGGTGCCCCTAAAATAGAATTTTCTTAACTCCGTGTAAACAGGGCCTCACTGGAGGAAAATGTGAAAGAATCAGATATTGGGAGAACACTTGCTACGTGTCTAAAACTAAGTTCTAATAACGCTCCCGTCCATTTTTTTATTTCCTCTGCAAAATCTGCCCTGTTTTTGTCTGTGCACACTGAACCTGCGGTGCCTTTGTGGTCTGTCTGAAAGTACATTTCCTTTCTACTACTTTTTCTCTTTCATATTCCCAGATGCTTCTTGCTCCTTTTCTGCATCCACAGCTCTGATCTTATTTATATTTTATGGAAATAGATACGACAGTTCCATGAGTGGCACATTCCAATTCATTTCATTATTGTATGTCTATTACATCCTTTACCCTGGGGGTCAAAAGAAAGGACAATGCTCACTTTGGAAATACATATACTAAAATTGGAATGGTACAGGGAAGATTAGCATATCCTCTAGCATGTGCACACGTAAGTTTGTGACACATTCCATATTTTTCAAACAAGTGTATGAAAAGGTCTTCGACATCATTCTTCAAACAATTGCAAATTATGCGACGCCTGGGTGGCTCAGTTAGTTAAGTGTCCGACTTCAGCTCAGGTCATGATCTCATGGTTTGTGGGTTCGAGCCCCGTATCTGGCTCTGTGCCAACAGCTCAGAGCCTGGAGCCTGCTTCGGATTCTGTGTCTCCCTCTCTCTCTGCCCCCCCCCCCCACTCATGCTCTGTCTCTGTCTCTCAAAAATAAATAAACATTGTAAAAAATAAGAAAAAAAGAATTGCAAATTAAAGCAACAATAAGATTGTTCCCATTACACGTACATTAAAATGACTAAAATCCAAAACATGGATAACATCAAATGCTGGCATGGATGTGGAGCAACAGAGAAAATACAACATTCATGCTGGTGGGAATGCAAAATGGTACAACTACTTTGGAAGACTGTTTAGCAGTTTCGAACAAAACTAAAGATATCCCTATCATACGACCCAGCAGTTGTGCTCCTTGGTGTTTGCCCAAATGACTAGAAAACTTATGCCCACACAAAAATTTGCACATGAATGTTTATAATAGCTTTATTTATAATTGCCAGAACTTGGAAGCAACCAAGATGTCCTTCAGTAAGTGAAGGATAAATAAACTGTGGCCCATCCAGACAATGAAATATTATTCAGTACTAAAAAAAAAGCTGTTAAACCTTGAAAAAACATGGGAAAACCTTAAAGACATGTTACAAAGTGAAGGAAGATAATCTGAAAGGCTGCAAACTGCATGATACTAACTATATGACATTCTGGAAAAGGCAAAACTATGGAGATGGTGAAAAAGATCAGTGGTTGCCAGAGTATAGGGGGAGGAAGGGATAAATATGTAGAACATGGAAGACATTTAGGGCAATGAAACTATTGTCTATGATACTATAATGTTTGATACATGTCATTATACATTAATCAAAACCCATAAGACATATAACACTAAGAGTGAAGTCTAAGGTAAACTATGGACTTTGAGTGATAATGATGTGTTATTATTGGTTTATTGATTGTAAGCAAATGTAACTCTCTGGTGGGGGATGCTGACAATGGGGTAGGCTGTGAGTGTGTGGGGGAAGGAGGTATATAGAAATACTGTACTTTCCACTCAGTGTGGCTGTTAAGATAAAATTGCTCTGAAAATAAAGTCTTTTTTTTTTTTTAAGAAAGTACAAAGAAAGTACTTTTCTTAATTGGACTTCTTGAACCAGACACAATTTAGCGATGGTAACTTTAAATAATTGCTTTGTGAAAAGAACTCCCCAATTTCTCTAAATCAACAGAAGTCTGTGATCAAAATAGATGAACTATATTTTTAAAGAAATAATATATGTATTTATTATAACCAGACAGATGGCATGGACTGAATAGACATGTTATTGTCAAATTAACCTGTATATAATATAAAACATTTTTTATGGGCTGCCTGGGTGGCTCAGTCTGTCCAACTCTTGATTTCGGTTCAGGTCATGATTTCATGGTTTTTGAGTTTGAGCCCTGTGTCAGGGTTCATGCTAACATGCAGAGCCTGCTTGGGATTCTGTCTCTCCCTCTCTCTCTACCCCTTTCCCACTCATGCTCTCCCTCTTTCAAAATAACTAAACTGAAAAAAAAAACATAATTTTTAATAGTGTCACATGTAAACTATGCTTTAAATTGTCACAACCTACACTTAGAATGAGAAAAATCATTGTAAGTGAGTCATATTAAAAGATTATACATGATATCTACACTACAAAGGTCATTGGGAAATTTTAGCCAGGTTGACAATAATCTAGAGTAAAAATTTGGTGATCCATGGACAAAATTCAGCCTATTTCTTTATATTTTTAGTCCCTAAGTAATTTGTTCAGTGGATTTGAAATTCTTGACACGGAGCACATATATTTTCTAGCTCATCACTAACCGTTTCACTCCCTATTTACCTCCTTCTAGGCTGCTTCACACATTAACAAATCACCTGGGTTTTGAAAACAAGCATTGCCACCATTTCCTCATCTAATCTATTTTGTGATAATGTTCAGAAATATTGAAAAGTCAGTATGTTCTAAATCTTTGGAAATAAAATTCAACTGAAAATAGAAGCAATTAAAATTTTTATGTGTGACTTCAGCAAAACCAATGGAGTGGGAAACTCCAAAATCCTGTCCCTCCATAAAAGTAGTGAAGACTATGGTGACAGATGGTGACCACACTTATTGTAGTGAGAGTTGAATATCAAATCACTATACAGTGCACCTGAAACGAATATAACATGGTGTTCCATGAAAGGGAGGCATACGTAAAATAACCTACAAAGACCAAAAAAAGCCATAAGACCAAAGAGGAAGGCTGACAAGTTCAGCTTGACAAGAAATGATTTGTTAAGGGGACTTATGAACAGAAGTATGTCTGACAGGCCACAAGACAAGTAGACCTTTGCAACCCCACTTCCCATAGAACATTCTTTTATTGCCCTAGGGGCCTAGGGGTACTTGCTGGGGGACCACTTGAGAAGAAATGTTTGAGAATCATAATCGTATCTCCATAGCAGATCAAGGACGTTATGCCCCAATGGTGTGGTTAAACAAAAAGACATAATATTGGGGGCAGCTGTGCTCAAGAAGGTTAACCAACTACTTTTAAAAAAGGAGTGAAGGATCTGGCAAACTCTGTGAGAATCAACTTATCAGTCATAAAAATGATGTACTGATATGTCCTTCAAAGATCTTCCAAACAGGTCAAGAGAAAAATCACACTTCTTTGAGAATATGATCTGTTGTGCCCCCTTTGTCACTAGAGACCTATCCTGCGAAACTTGAGGTGTTGTATTCAAGATCATGGCAGGGCTGGGGCATACAGTGTTGGGTCAGCACAAGTTAATGCACCACAAAGCTCCTTTACTGAGATTCAGGTCTTTTTCTCTTGATTAGTATTCCCCTGACAGTGTGAACTTCTATTAGTTTCCACAAAAACCCTACACATTGTGAAGTTACATTTATTTTAAATGTCCAAAATAGGCAATTCACAGAGACAGAAAGCAGATGAGTGGTTGCCAGGGCATAGGGGGAAGGGACAATGGTAACGACTGCTTACTGGTACAAGGTTTCTGTTTGCAGTCATGAAAGTGTTCTGGAATTAGATACTGGTGATGCTTGCATAACACTGTGAATGTCCTAAAGGCCACTGGATTGTACACTCGAAGGTGATTAAAAAGACCATTTTTGTTATGTAAATTTCATTCAATAAAGAATGTGCCTTTTCTAATCTTGCCAAATATAACTGCTACACTCTTTTCTCCAGCAATTATATATCATTTGTTCTTCTGTGCTTAGCTTAAACTACATTTCAATGTAGACTGTTCCCTATTCATTTATTTCATTATCTAGACAAATATTTATAAAATATCTAATATTTCACAGGTGTTGTTCTTTTCATTGGGTCTACAGCAGTGACATAACAGATTGAGTCTTCTCTTTATGGAGCTTGACTCCTGATAGAAGAGAGTCAAAAAAAGTCATCAAAAATTAAATAAAGTGCTCAAGTTACATTTTATTCTCCCTTCTTCATAAAAAAGAATTTTTCTTATCTCACAGATACACACACACACACGCACACACACACACACACACACAAGCATACATGTATGTACTCATAGACTTTGAGACAGATATCACATATTCTCATTGATGGGCCTCAGAAAAATAATGATATCTAAGGACACAATCTCTGCTACTTTATGCCATGGATAATTTCCTTCTCAGTGACTTATTTTCCCTTGAGATTCTTTGCAGTGTGCTGCTTCTTGGAAAAAACAAACATTTTTGAATGAATGAGAGACAGAACAGGGGCATATGAATTGTGAAGGACACTGGGTAGACTATTTTCTGTGATTGGTTTCAACTTTGAAAGTGTAAACCATAATTTGTAAAGTCACAAGAATATTCTTTCTATGAAATTTTAATATTATAATTCCCTCCAATTTATGCCTTGTTCTTAAAGGGATAAGCTTTAAGCTCTTTGTCACTTGTGGAAATATGAACCCGAACTTCCACACTAACAAAATCAATAAATATTTAATTCCTCAGCAGTGCAAAGTGTTATAATGCTAAGTTCAATAATTTATCTTGTTCTTTACTTTTTGGGTTTTGTGAAATTAATTAATTCTTTGGAGCCCAGAGATAGATTACATAATGAGACATGTTAGAAATATTGAGAAATTACTGCAAAAAATCTCACCATTGTTGCCGACTTACAGGAAAAAGTTATCCCCAACTTTGCCGATACTGTGTTCTTCTGCAGCAGACTGGTAGGGTGTTAACCCCCAGCCAGGAGAGGGCAGTTGGCAGCAGTAAGGAAAACTGGTGATGTAAAGTGTCAAGAAACTTGTTTCCTTCCCCACCTACCTCTCCAATAAGACATGATACCCGCAAGATAAGAAGTGTCTGCCATGTCTAATTTAGAGTCACCTAGCTTGGTTGAGCAGAATGACTATGATGCCCCCCTGCTCCTCTATCAGAGGAGAACCAGTCTTATGTACCAAACTCACTCTTCTTAAGGGTTAGGACCAAGGGTGTTCAATCATTTACCACTTTTTAAGCGAAGATAATAGACTCATAAACAAACCAGAAAACAATGCATAAATAAGAACTAACGAGCCCTCTTTTAAAATTTTTTTTAATGTTTATTTATTTTTGAGACAGAGACAGAGCATGAGTGGGGGAGAGTCAGAGAGAGAGGGAGACACAGAATCCAAAGCAGGCTCCAGGCTCTAAGCTGTCAGCACAGAGCCCAACGTGAGGCTCGAAACCACGAACCATGAGATCATGACCTGAGCCAAAATCAGACGCTTAACCGACTGAGCCACCCAGGCGCCCCTAATGAGCCCTCTTAAGTCCAACTTTATTTCTGTCTCTTCCCCAAGTCTCCCTTTGATCTCCATTCCCATGCTCATCCTACTGATATTTTAAAATTATTTTTAGAATA